TTCTTGTATCCCCTAGAAGTTTTAAGAGTGTTCTAGCTTCTTGTATCCCCTAGAAGTTTTAAGAGTGTTCTAGCTTCTTGTATCCCCTAGAAGTTAGAACACTCTTAAAGCTGGCCGGCCGCGGGGTCCATTTTCATTGGATGCTGCATGCTGTCTGGCTGGTGTTGTACTCTGTTTTCCTGCCGTTTGATGCCCGCCCGGCAGGGCTGCAATCATTTTTTGTATTCAACGTGAAATTTGACATCTGCGCAGGTCTGCACCCTCGCTTTTCCCCCGGTCGTCCATCTTGGGCCTGATGTTCTCTTAAACCACGAAGACCTTTCGCAGGCAACGCCTCAAAAAAACAAAATGAATCATTCCCCCGACTTCGGAGGCTGGGCACTTCCAGATCTAAATGGCGGGTGGCAACAGCAGAAAGGAGGAGGGGGGGGGGGGAGGAATTAATTTCCCTGATGCGTCGGCAGAGCCTGGCGCACAGTTCTTTTCTGCCTCGGCTGAAAGAGGCTCGGAGGTAGTGGTGGTTTAAGACCTTTCAATACCACCAGGGGAGGGAAACGGCCTCTGGAGACGTGACTTTTTTGACCGCTGATTGTGGACTTTTGATCAAAAGCTACGAATGACCCTAGGCCTTTTCTGTGGAAAAGAATCCGACTGGGTTATTTCAACTTATTTGCGATTATAAGGTAAGGGTGTCTCAACTGGACCTACTTTTCTTGGTGGAAAAGGGGGTTCTTGACCGTTCTTCTGTGGGCACTCTACTCATCGACTACCGAATTTCTTTTGCCCCTTTGCACCATGGGCATAGCCGAAGCCGGAAAAACTGGTGTGCAAAAGGGGAAAGAATTTGGACCAGTGAGTGCCGGATAGGCATTGCCAGCGAAGTTTTGTACCTAGAGCCTGCAAGCCTGTCCAGCACTCACTGGCTGTCTGTATGTCAAACCTGTCATCCCATTGAGTGCATGGATCTGTGGCTTTTGCAAGTTTCCATTTTTATTCTGCTGTAAATGGCATGAATTTGGACCATTTTTCTCGATTTATATGCATCATCCTTGCACAGGGGCCATGCTTATCTTCTTCTCTGTATCGTTCCAATGTTAACGGGTGGCCCCCTGAATGAACAGATGCATCTGTGACTTGCGTTTCAAAAGTCTTCTCGTGATGGGATATGGACTATTATGGAGTATGACGCTCCTCTTGATGGGGCACGCATGTGGATATATATCATCATGTATGAATGTATATTTCAATGTATGCATGTTGATTCTCGGAATCTTTGTCTCACAGGTTGGCATTGATATCCCTGAAGCCACTGTGATGCTCGTGGAGCATGCTGAACGTTATGGGATGGCGCAACTGCACCAGGTACTGATCCTTCAAATCCTCCTCCTCTGCTCGAACTTATTCTCGATCCCTCTCTTCCTCCATATTCACATCAACAGCAACATCAATAAAGCCACAACAACAACAACAACAACAACAACAACAACAAAAAAAAAAAAAAAAAAAAAAAAAAAAAAAAAAAAAAAAAAAAAAAAAAAAAAAAAAAAAAA